AAAAAATGATTTAATATTATAAGTACTCTTTGCTTTAAATGGAACAGTTTTCAAGATAACTATTTCATTATAAGTGCTATTACAGCCTTTTAAGTTCTTCGATAATGCCTATTATCACCTGCAGAATAAATTCATATACTATAATAATATTAATTTAATGATATGAATGAAAATAATTCACATTGCACGTAGGCACTTTGTCATAGCCTTATGTTCATTAACAAGAACATTCTGCTCTTGAAAACTGCCAATAAACATTTTTATACATTTGTCTCTTTTATAGTTATTCTTCATTTTTAAAAAACGTATTGTAAACGTTATATATGATATGTTTTTTGTTCATACAATTTGTATATATAGTACTAAATGTTATTCATTGCAATTTATAGTATTGTATAATTTAAATAAATGTACTAACTACTTCAAATGTATAACAATACTTTATAGTTTCCATATAAATAAATTTCTAATAAATTAAAAAATTGAGGCATCTATAGTTGTCTTAAGTACTTATCTAAACTAAGAACACATTTACTGATACTATAAAATAAGTAACTTTTTTAAATGATATATGCTATTTGTTTTCTAATTTATTTTGCATATGCATAGATAGTTTGATATAAATTGATTTATATTACTATAAACATAGTAAAAAGCTCTTGCTATAAAAATAACACATGAGCAATTAACAGTTTTTGTCACAGTGTACACTACATTTTGATATTAAAACTCATTATTTTATTAACTGGATTAATCGTAATCGCAATTGTAATTCCTGTACTAATTTTTTGTTAGCTTAGCAAGTTAGATTAGTTAGTTTACTTAGTAAGCTAACAAAAAACAAAAAGTATAAAATTAAACTTATAATTTTGCAAAAACGGAAGGGTTTGTCTTTTACAATAAATAAATTGTACTCTACAGGTATTTTCAACTAATACTATTAATAAAATAATTTCTAATAATACTATCAAATAAAATATGAAAATGTGAAAAATCATTGATTATATGAAATGAATTGATAGAAAAAATCATGGTATACTGTGACAGATTAAATTAAAATGTCGAACTAAATCTATTTTCAGCATAAATAAGTACTAGCACTGCAGAATGTATTATAAAGGTTCGCACGCGTGTGTATATAAGTGAGTGAATGAGTGAGTGAGTTTAGTGATTCTGGCAACTCCATTCACTTAAGTGAAGATAGAAAAATTGTAGAGTAAAATATTGTAAGATATACTGAGGACTAACTTCCTATGTCACCATTTTTGTTGCACAT